ATGCAAATATTAAATCCTAAAATGAACATTTTTCCTATTTTTTAGTGAATTCATTGTAGCAGAAAGATGATGTCATTGTTTTCACATCATACTCATGTTTTTATCTATCGTAACATCCATGCAACAATGATTGATTGATCCTAATAGGCTACTGTAATTGTTTATATTGTATTACCAATACCAATATTGAAAATACAGAAAATTCTCTAAATTTTGAAATATACATACCAACAATAGACAAAAATTTAGAAAATTAAAAAATTTGGAGATGTCAAAAATTTAGAAAATCTTGGACTGAAAATTTTCAAAATATTAAAAATTTAGAAAATTCTGAAAATATTGAAAATTTTTCAAACATTGGAGATTCTGAAAATCTTGGAAATTCTGAGAATATTGTATATTTTTTTGATTTTGATGATTTTTAAAATTTGGAAGTTTTACAATTTAAAAAATCTTCAATATTCTAAGTTTTGAAAATACCGAAAATCTTGAAGATATTGAACATTTTGAGAATTTTGCAAATTTCAATCTAAAGTTTATGAAAACTTTGAATATTTTAAAACCTTAATATAAATCTGCAAAATTTTGAGATCTAGAAAAATCTTTGAAAACCTGTGATGACAAATGAAATCCAAATACTAAATCCTAAAATGAACATTTTTCTCATTTTTTGGTGTATACATTGCAGCAGAAAGATGATGTCATTGTTTTCATATCATACTCATGTTTTTATGTATCATAACATCCATGCAACATGATTGATTGATTGATCCTAACAAGCCACTGTAATTGTTTACATTACCAATACAATGATGTAAAAACTGCCATTATAGTTAATCCTTAAACATATTGTATCAAATCATTTGCAATTTATGAAGGTGCCAGTAAATTCAATCGTTATTCCACTTACTATAATTAGAACAAGCTATAAATTGAACTTTTATATGATTTTGCAAATGCACCAAATGAATGTACGCAGTTAAACGTGTTGAAAATACATGTGGGTCAAAATAACTCCAATCCCACAGGTTAACCATGAGTGTTTCTTCAGATTTTTTTACGAATTACTCCAGAATGAAAAGCTCCGTAACAACTGTAAAAGCCTCATGATATACGTGAAAGGTTAGTGACTTTTCTTTGCCGGACTACATTGGTAGTACACACGAATAAGCGTACTGTTTTATTCCTCGAGATCTTGCAAAACGTGCCATCTGGTAACCGTAGCTCCTTAGCCTTCACGAATTAATATTTCTGCCTCATTAAACTTTTTTCCGTCCGGAAACTAATCCAATCCACCTATTATGGCAAATACCGTGAATTTTGACACGGTTTTCGAACGCGACGAAGGCCAAACATGATTGAAATATTAAATAATGCTCAAATAGAGTAATAGACGGACGTTAAAGATAAATGATCATTCTGATATTATTGACAAAGATTAATGGTATAATTACAGTATCTGAACCTTTATGGAAGTACTCGTATAAATGGAAATTACATTATTTTAATTTTCTCTAGAGGTCCTCTTATTGGATTATAAGTTCTTATTAAGTGTAAGATTTGAAAAAATCGTCTCATCAGAATACCTTGATCAAAGAACAGTGTCAATACTGCTAGTGCACTAAGTACGTCCGAAAATAACATGGAACTTTTTATATACGAGGGACACTAGAAAAGAAATCTACCTAGCCATGAAAAAACAACTGAAACGCACAAGCATAATATAGCATAGTGGCACATTTTGACACTTTAGTTGCAAATTATAGTTCAATCTTATAATTAGTTTCTAACCTATAAAGTGCAATTCACTAAGGGAAAATTAGAGCATCGTTGTGTAAAATTTCTGACAAAAGAGGGCCATCAGCCATAAACAACTCTTGAGAGGATAGTTTCCATCTATGGGGTACTGCACCATCATATTACACAATAAAATGTTGGTAGATGCAATTTCGGTGGGGGCGTGAATCCATAGGAGATGATCCCAGCAGTGGAAGACCTAAAACAGCAACAAATGCTGAAGTGACTTGAAAAGTTGAAGCCATGGATCTCGAAGATCGTCGTGTGAAGGTCTCTACCATTAGTATGGCATTGCACGAAAATTTGAACATGAGTAAAGTGTCAACCAGGTGGGTTTCATGACTGTTGACACCTGAACTAAATGGCGAAGTGGGCTAGAAATATTAGAAAATGATTTGGAAACTTTGACCAATGATTCTGACCTTTTGGCATACACTGTGACGAGAGACGAGACTTGGGTGAATCATTGGGACCCTGAAACAAAAACAGAATCCAAGGGGTGAGTTCATAAAAGGGTCTCCACCCCCAAAAAGGCACGACAACCCTCTGCTAGTAAATTGTTCACAAAAGTTTTTTGGGGATATAATCCGGATGGGGCGCAGTCTGTTTTTTATCTATTTAGATAAAGATAAATCTTCCAGGATGCCATTTTGATTGATAATGGCCCAAAAGCAGCCATCGACTGAGGGTCCACATTTTTTATAAAGGTTCCAGTTCCAGTTCATTGGCGGAGCAATGTCTCAATGTAAAGGGGGGTATATTGAAAAATACTCGTAAAATTATCAAAAAATCGCGCATTTTTTATTTCATGGAGTAGCGTTCCACAGGTAAAACTGCGGAGCAGAAAACTAGCTAGTTTCCTATACTATTCGTCATTATTTGTCAGAGCGGTCCGGTGGACCTTCGCCCTTAGTTCAAAGCCTCGTCGGTCTGTTAGTCTGTCAGGTCTGGCTATCCAGATACCAAACATGTTTAAGGGGAAAAGGGAAAGAAGGCAAAAAAAGGAAGTAAGAAATAGAGCGAAGAAAAGTAAATTATTTGAAATAGCTTAAGCATTATTGCTTTGACTGCTCAAATTATTTTGTAGCTCCAAAAAATAATTTTGATCGGTTTTGTATACTAAAATAATTTTGGATGGTCTGAATTTACAATTTAATTTTGATCACAGTGCGAGGCGCGGCCTGGAATGTTTGCGAACTTGCTCGACTGTGTAGTCTACTGAATCACGCAACAGAGGGTTGCTGTGCGATTCCGCTTGATTATAACGCCGCTGCTCATGTTGTTTTACATAATCCCTTAGAAATGAGATATCAAGATCTCTGTGACACTCATTTGATACATACCAAGGGGCGTTAGAAATTGTGCGTAGGGTTCTGTTTTGCAGGACTTGCAGTCTCTGCATGTGCGTCTTGGCAAGAAAACATACAACCGAATCTTGTTGATCAAACTAAATTTTGAATTTCTGCACAACAAAGGATAAAGCTGCCGAAAGGTAGTTTGGAATTTTGTTTTCAAAATATTATTATTTTTCTGCCAGGTCAACCCCTTGTCAATGATGACTCCAAGATACCTGACAGATTGCTCCCATGGTATACGAGCTCCATTCACTGATATCTCTGAGGGGGCACCGCGACGTTTTTTAGTACAAGTATTAATTTTGATCAACCACCGATCCGCCCACTCTAATACTTCCTCCACCGCACTCTGCAGCCTGTCATGAACCAGGTTACCAGAACAAGACTGGGCTAGCAGTGCAGTGTCGTCAACATGGAGATAGACTTTACAGTTGCTGGGGCAAGGGACGTCATGTATATAAAGTGAATAAAGGATTGGTCCCAAGACTGAACCCTGAGGAACAGCGGGTCATACGGGTCGTGTTGTTGACAACAGATTGTTAATTTTGATCCGAAACTTCCTTTCTTCTATAAAAGATTTCAACAGTTTTAGTAGCCAAAATCGAAAACACTTTTGGATGAGCTTATTCAAGAGGCCCATGTGCCACACCTTGTCAAATGCCTTTGATACATCTAAAAGCAAGATACCAGTACTTTTGTTCAGGGTGAACCCCCTGGTTACATACTCCACCAGTCTAACTGAATGTAGCTCTGTACTATGCTCAAACCGAAAGCCGAATTGCACGTCAGGAATCACATGGTGATCTGACGAGAAATTCTCAAGGTGACGATAAATCACCTTTTCAGCGAGCTTAGAAGGAGCTGACAGCAGACTAATGGGACGGTAATCCTGGGGGAATATCGAACCTGGGATATTTATATATTTTGGGATCATGATGACTTCCAGCGATCTTCCCCACCTCAGGAAAGTAATGAGTTCTGAGCATTGCATTAATTATTGCCACCAGATAAGTCAAAGCCTTGAGCGAAAGCAACTTCAGTGCTTTGTTGGTGATTTGATCCTCTCCAGGAGCTTTACGCACGTTTAGGTCCTTAATGTGGCCTTGGAGCTCTGCTGATGTGCAAACGGGAATTTCAGATGATGCCCTTGACGTGCTATGCTGAGATTCATCTGAAGAGTCTTCCATAGAAGAATCTTCTGAAAAGGAGTCACCGATGTTGATATCGCCATTCGCTCTGAAATATCTCCTGACAGGTCTTACAATTTGTCGTTCCTCATCAAGGTCATTGTCCGGATCATAATTGGAAGAGAACTGCCTTTAAATGACGTCAGCAAAAACTTCCACGTTATCCTCAGTCCTGAAAACTATGCCTCCAGGACCATGAATATGTGGCAGTTGTTTTTGCCTTCCGTTTCTGAGCGATTTTGCCACTTTCCAGATAGGAATACTTGATTCAAGCATCCCCGCCAGAAAGTCGCTCCACCGCTCATTGCGGAATTCATGGAGTGCATTTCTCACTTCATGGACGAGATTCATCGCTCTACGAATGTCATCAGGATGAAGCCATTTCATGTCAAATTGACGACGTCAGAGATGTTTCCCCTACATATGAGCTGCTTTCCAGTGGTTTTTGGTTTGAGACAGATCCGCTCTAAACTTATTACACCACACAAGAACTTATTTTGCCTAATTATTAGTTCCTTTAATATAGATTATAGCTCTTTTGTATCAACAGGTTCCTTGATGGAGTACATTGTAAGACGGTTAATCAAACGAAACTGACAATTTTTATAGATTATTGACGCTGTGATAAAGAGACTAATGATTTCGTTACTTTTTCTTCCAGAAAATGGGGACGATCCCTCACCTATCAATAATCAAAGGTCCGACAAGACCTGTCACCCCATCCTTGTTGCACAAGCTGTTCGAAAATGTTGCTGTAGGGCCAAGCCAAAACAACACTGCCCTGATATACAAAGGTATCATTTCTAGCACCCTCAGATTTTTTTACTTCACTACATAATCTTTTCTAATTTTCGATAATAAAGCACAGCACCAAAATTGAATTTTATTGCCTTTACTAAGACTACATACAGCCCATCTCACGAGTATCCATCACGTTTTTGACGTCTACTGAGGTGAATAGCTGATCAGTAAATGACTTCTTTGTGTTAGTCTGTAACGTTGGCAAAAGTGAATCAGGGGTAAAACTTATAACCGTATCCAATTTAGTGCTGTATCGACAGTCGTTCCTACAACTGTAGGACATCTTTATAGCCTCCTTGATTTTCTTAGTCTTTTCTCTCCTAAGGACTGGGGTATTTCTAGATTTCTATTCTTCCGTCTCAGCGTCAGCGCTCCCCTATTGTGAGGTTATGCATTCTTTTTGAAGTGTAGGAAATTTCAAGCTGATTGAACAGATGAGATAAATCAAAAGCATGAACAATTTGATGCAAAGTGATACTTGCAACATAACCTCAAAATAGGCCGCTGACGCTGAAGGACAGGAAAAACTATGAAAATCAAGGAGGCCATAAAGGCGCCCTACAATTGTACGAATGACGGATGATACTGCCCTTAGTGACTGGGACTGGGAAATTTGAAACATCACTAGATAATCAGCTGTCATTCTACCGTAATGGATACTCGTGAAAAAGGCAGTATTGCAATTTGACCTTGAACTTGACCCTCCATGATCATTCGACAATTCTCTATTATAGCAATCATCCATATAAAGAAATCTGAACGAATTCCTTTCTCGAAGTCATAACCAATTCATGAGAATTGTATTTTTTTCTGTTAGAAAATGACCAAGTCCGCCAAACCACTTACTCGGAGCTCAACGCCACAACAAACAAAATGGCGCGCGCCATTCACCAGCTCATCACAACCAACAGTTTACCCAGAAACAAAGATGGCGACTATATCATCGCAGTTAACATGGTGCCAAGTGACCGTTTGGTAACAGTCCTATTGGCTATCTGGAAAGCTGGAGCTGCTTATCTACCTTTGGATCATGCCTTTCCTGGACCTAGAATTGAACATATCGTCAGAGAAGCCAAGCCTGTTTTGATTATCTATGACCAAGGTAAATGATCATCAAACCAATCAATAATATTTGACTGCATCGCAACTCAATACTTCCTTCTTTACCTCTTCCCTCCTTTCCCAACTAGCACAGGACGTTGGCTGAACATTGTTTTTAAATGGAGTCAACATTCATCTGTTGGTACTAGCATTCCAGTTAAACGCCAATATCTACCCTAAATTGGAAATTTGGAAAATATATTATATGGTTTTCTCTTTTAGCCTATACTGGCCCAGCATGTTATGTTGCGATACTGATTGCAGAATATTGGCACAATATTGTAATTGCGTCCCTAAACAATATAACATATACATATGTGTTGACCCAATACCGTATTGATAGCGGAAGTACAATATTGTTAAAACATATATATTGGCCAACTATTGTTTCTTCTTGCATAAAATATTGACGACCAATATCACTCGAATGCAGTTTGTTGATCGTTGAGCGAATATTTGTCCTATATTGGTTTGACTTTGGAAACTACAACATTTGACTTTCCTTCTTGGCCTATATTGGCCCAATATGTTATTTTGCGATGTGGTTTGAAGCATATATGAACAAGTTTAGAAATAAAGTATTACAGATAAATGTTGGCACAATAAAGAGAAATTTAAATATATACAGGGTGGCGCATCGAAAACGAAACAGACGCATTTACTGGCAGCTCAGTTTTTTTTTGGAAAAACGCTCAGACCCGTCGATTTTGTTTTCGAGGGGAACACAAGTCTGGCAAAAAATCACGTTAACACGTGCAGCTCCCTGGGTGGGGGTGACACCAACCCTAAAATCTTAAATGGAAAAGGGGGTCGAGTGATACCTTAATTTAGAGGTCTTTCAATTCCCTTAAACTTAAAGCTTAAAGTAGACTTTAATAGGTACATCAGATTCGTTTGTACTACTTTCAGAAGAAATTTGACTAAAAGAATTTACTTAATAAGTAAATGCTTTTCTTCACTAAAAAAGTTATTTCTTGAAGAAAGATAAGGAAATATCTCGTACTTATTTTAAATAGGAATTTAGTATATAGTTTGCGAATGATGTGACCAAATTTTGTTGCTAAAATAACTTGTAACGCTTCATTACATAAATTAACCATGGTATATTCCACAGCAGAAAGAGTTGAAATTATCGGAATATTTTTCGGAAATAATCAGTGCGCTAATAGAACAGCAGAAATATTTAATGAGCGACACGAGAACAGTAACGTGCATAAAAAATATGTTCTAGAACTTGTAGCTAAATTTCGGGAAACTGGGTCAGTCGCCAATAAAAAATGCAACATTGAAAATCCCATAAGGAACGCAGAAATAGAAGTGGGGGTTTTAGGGCAAGTTTATGTAGATCCTACGTTAAGTACCCGCTAGTCGACGTACTGTCCAACGGATTCTAAAGGCCCATAGTTTTCATCCGTACAAAATTCACCTGGTACAAGAACTTAATGAAGACGATTTTGATCGGCGGTTACAATTTTATGAAGATATGAGTGAACGAATTATAAACGCTGAACATTTTCTATTCAACACTTGCTGTCCCGACGAATTTTTCTTTTTCTTAAATAGCGTAGTAAATCGTCATAACTGCCGATATTGGTCCGATTCTAATCCCAGAATTTATCATGAGGTTCATACACAGCAGCCACAAAAATTAAATGTTTGAGCTGGTATGTTTGGCAATCATTTAGTTGGTCCTTTTTTCTTACCTGGAAATTTGCCCGGTGAAATGTATTTGGAATTACTGGAATACGCCATAGATCCTGCATTAACAGCCATAATTGAAAATCAGAATGATCGGCGGTACATTGCGAATAGGTTGATGTTCCAACAGGATGGTGCCCCCCACCACATTACGCATTACGTGTTCGACAATGTTTAGATCAGACGTTTCCAGATCGATGGATTGGTAGAAGAGGTGCCATTGAATGGCCCCGAAGATCGCTAGATTTATCACCTTTGGATTTCTTTATGTGGGGTCATTTAAAAAGCAAAATCTATGGTACTCAGCCAACATCATTAGAAGACCTGCGACAAAGAATTGTGAATGAGTGCCTTCAAAAGCAAAATCTTTATTATTGCATGGAGAGTCATGGGGGCCATTTTCAATATTTACTTGCCTAACGGGTCAGTTCATTCTTCATTTTGAAATTACTTTGCTGTCAAATGTATTGATCTCCACTAATGATGATGTATTAGTTTTATTTAAGCTTTAAATCAATAAATCTTCAAAACTACTGAACTGAAGTACATTAATTTTATATCATTACAAAGGGAATTGAAAGACCTTTAAACTAAGGTATCACTCGACCCCCCTTTCCATTTAAGATTTTGGGGGTGGTGTCACCCCCGCTTAAGGGGCTGCACGTGCTAACGTGATTTTTTGCCAAACTTGTGTCTCCCTCGAAAACAACATCGACGGGTCTGAGCGTTTTTCCAAAAAAAAAACTGAGCTGCCAGTAAATGCGTCTGTTTCGTTTCCGATGTGCCACCCTGTATATGATCTGGTTCGGCCAGACAATGGAGTCCTACAGTATTTTTATAATTGTTCGAGACAATATACCTTGCAGTATATCTTGCAACCAATATTGGATTTCAATATTGGGCCAATAAAGAATGGATGTGCTGGTTTAACACTGTAAATCATCGTTGAACCAATATTTTTATAATTGAATGAACGGTAGGTAAATTTTGACATACAACCAATATTGAAATGTTGAGACAATACAAAGAGAAGTATTGCTCTAATAATGTGAATAAACACTAAAACAATACAGTCATAACTGAATTGTAATATCGGGCGTATAAAGAAAGGCCATATTGAGTTGATATTGCAATTTGTTGTGGGCTTGCAGACGCGTTGTCGGACTGAGATGGACGAACTAGAGCCAGAGCCCAAGGTGGTGCACTGGCTCTAGTTCGTAAATTTTTTGTATGGCTCCTTGGTTTGGTGGCCTTGCATTGGAACCGAGACAACTCAGCAAAATTCAGCTTTGGCTTGTACCAGTATTATAAGCGCAGTGCGGACAACACAACTAAGTGCAATGGAAGCTTATTAAATAGATTGCTATTATCAAACTTCAAATATCCAAAAAACTGATCTTCCTATAGTTGGTCCTAACACAAAGAATAAAAATCAATCTGTCTCCAAATAACTAGACCTATAACGTACCTGCTGATGACTGCTAAAGAGCAAGAAACAACGTTTTATATGGTTGGTTATGGTTGTAGAAACAGGTCCAATTCGACACGGTAATCTTGATTTAGGCGTCTTTATTTGGTAAAGGTAATAATTTAACACTTTTTTCCAGATTCTCCCTTTTACATGGACACATACAAAATATCCTATGACGAACTTGTTGAGCAGAGCAAAAATAAAACCTCAACAACTTTAGCAGATAACGAGCAAGTTTCACATGTCAAGGACGATCTCGCGATTGTTTTGTATACATCGGGAAGCACTGGAGTACCCAAAGGTATGTTAGATCGTATACCCTTCAAAAAAAGGTGAATGAGCAACCAATCATATGCTCGTAAACATTTCAATATTAGGTGCATGCGCACCCACATTGTTACTACGAGCCCCTTCTCACTTCAGTTGGCCCAACTATTGAAATCTTAGTTTTTTTATCATCAAACACAAATAATAAAATGTAGCAGGGTGTTATAGGTTTAAAGTATTAATATATATAATATTAACAATGAATATTTTGATAATATATAGTAAAAACACAAACTTTATCGCTCCCTAATCAAATCTGCAGCATAAAAATAACACATGTTGAAATTACAGCATATCAACATATTTTCATTTCAATGCAATATAAGTCTATAACGCATAGGTGGCTGTGAAAAATAAAAGCCATGACAATTATTTTTATTAATCACAGCTGCCAGAATACGTTTAAGATAGTTTAGGGTAGTTAAGGTTTTCAAAATGGGTAGAGGAAATGTTATTAGTGAGAAAATTCGGTTACTGATAATTAAATTTTTTAATTCTGGGAAATCAAGCTCAGAAATTGCAACTTTGTTAGATCTATCACGGGACAGTGTGAGAAATATTGTTGGAAGATATAACGTAACTGGTTCAGTTAATATTAAGCCACGATATGTGAAAAAAGTAATATTACAAATGCCGACCGAAGAGCATTAAGAAGATTAATCGTGAAAAACAGGCGTGCTAATTATTTACAATTAAGTGCTCTGTGAAGGAGAATTTCGAGGTCCACAACTCATAGAGAGGCCCACAAACTGGGATTTAGCACTTGCAAGTTAAGTTTTCTTATAAAAAAAGTGAAGTGAAAACCCTAAAGTGGCACAACTTGTTAATAGGCCAAAGAAAAGCCACTATTAACTCCACTGTAAAAGAAAAATCGGCTTAGATGGGTTAAAGAACATAGACAATGGACACCTCAACAATGGTGTGCAATACAGTGGAGTGATGAGGCCCGAATCGAAGTTTGTGTTGGTGACAGTCTCAGTAGAGTTATTCGCAAGAAAAATGAAGCATTCCATGTTGACTGTCTGAAGAGAAAAGTGAAATTTCCAGCATCCATTATGGTCTGGGGCAGTATGTCATCAAAAGGAGTAGGACAACATCATTTTATTGATGGAAATGTGGATACAAACAAATATTTGGCAATTTTAGAAGAATCGCTTTTACCAGTGATGGTTCAGATCTGTCACCTATTGAAACTTTGTGGCACGAGATGAAAAAGGTTCTACGACAACATCCTGCTCGTGAAATCACCGAACTAAGACAAAAGCATCAAGAAATATGTTTTGTTTTACACCAAATGTTTGCCAAAACTTGGTTAACACTATGCCCCAAAGAATTTCAGCCGTATGTATTTTTTACGACTAGAGTGTATCTAAAATGTTTTTGAGAAAATAAATTGTTTTAAAAGTAAATAGATTCATCATGTTTAGTTTATAAAGGCATATTTTGGTACACATGTTGAAGTGGGCCAACTGAAGTGGGAAGGGGCTCGTAGAGTCGGATGGTAGGCAATTTTCTGGACGAATCTGAGTTAATCATAATTTGGAATGTGTAACATTGAATCCAAACTCGTTACAATTACATACATTCACATTTAAATATCATAAAGCCCTATATCAGAGGTTCTAACACTTATTTCGTCCACCGCCCACCCTGAGAATTAATTATTTTCCAGCGCCCCCGAAATCACTTTAATTTATACAGATAAATCCATATGCCACTGACATCGTAATGTGTACCAGAGAGAAGCGTGCATTACGTATGTTAGAAAGAGCTGGAAGTACCACGTTGCCTAGCAACCCGAGTGACAAGGCCACCTAACCGCCTAACATACGTATTGCACACTTCTCGCTATTATCTTTCGTACACTTTACCTCGTCAGTGATATTTGGATTTCTCTGTATATAACTTGAGTTCACAAAGCCGCATTGAACATACTCGAATCGCTGGTATAAATATTTTATGACGTTTAACGTGTAAAATAATTCTTGCGTGAAAATAATAGCTTCAGAAACAAAGTAACTTCGTACATCGTTTTATTTTTTGATAGTGAAATCAGTTACCAAATTAAAGTCGACTTAAATGCGTCATACTATGACCATTACGTTTTGAACCTGATCATGAAACATAAAATTGATGTCAATACTGGTTAAATCGCTGACGTTTAAATTGAACAGCAGTGGTCCCTGTACAGATCCCCGAGGTACACCATGTTCCAAAGGGTATATATCAAATCTTACACTTCCAAGTTTAACTTTTAGGTTTCTACCCTCCAACAGTATAGAATATTTAGATAGATCAAAAAGAAAATAATATATTCGTCATCGTCAAGGCTGCTATAAACAAATTCAAGCAAGTCACAGCTTGTAGTTTCGATGGACTTCTTACATACATTCAGGATATGAGATTTTTCAGCAAAATCGTAGTCTGTGATACATGGTCTTTTCTAGTAGTTTAGATATGTTACTCAATAATAAAATTTGACGATAGTTGTGAATCTAATCACACACAAGTATAGGTATGATCATAGCAAGTTTAAATATGTTAGCAACACAACCACTCTCAACAGATTTATTAAATAAAAATACAAATTATCACCAATACAACTACACTTATTTAAAAGATGTAAAGTAATATACTAAGTGACATATAAATCCGAACACCCAGTTTAAATGGTTTTATTTTAATAAAATTTTGTATAAGTACTTAATGAAGCATAATAAGTAAATGATAAAAATTTGCCTAAACAAAATCGAGACTCGTCACTAAAGACAATACTGTTCCATTCCTAATCCCAGAGTGACCGTTGTCTGCACCACTCAAGGCGATTACGTCGGTGTTCTCGAGTTAAAGGGAGGACCCAGTGTGGCCGGTATGAAAACAAGCCAAAACTTCTCATTCGTCGGTAAACACTTCGCATGCCAATAGGTTTTCGGTGTTCTGCAAAGCATTCATTTGCAATGGACCTGGTAGTGGAGAAACGGTCCCTTAAGGCCAATAATCTTAGGCGGCGATCTTCACGGTCTATTGTTCTACGGCGGCGTCCAGTGCCCCTTGCTCTTTGCGTACGGCCTTCTCGAAGCCATGCCATGCCTGACAACACCTAACCACAGTGCTTCTTTGCACTCTAACTGCAATTGCCCGAGAAGAAAGTCCAGCTTCCCGAAGTCCCACTATACGGCCCCTATCAAACTCACTAAGTTGACGAAATCGTACAGGTCTCCGTACTCTAGGCATCGTAACCAATCGTAAAGGATGTCAAGAACCAAAATCCGCCAACGTTGATTCTTTACTGCGGCTGAAATATTCATTTTTAGAGCGTTAGTGAATTAAAAAAAAGCAGTATAAAAACCGGAATGTCCAACTGATAAGGCTGAAAATTTTTTCACTTGTTATTTACAGTAAGATAAATATATTCACCAACTTTTATTAGAATAAAACCATTTAAACTGGGTGTTCGGATTTATATGTCACTTAGTATAATATAGAATTAGTATAGTTTCCTTGAGATTTTATAATTTCATTAACCGCTCTTTATACTATTTTAATATCAGTTTTGAAACATACAGAAATCAACATCTAAATCAATTCTATGTAGGTGTTCGACTGCCCCATAGAGTAATCCAGAATAGACTTCAATGGCAGTTCAAAAGATTCCCATACAGCTCTACAGAGAAAGTTTGTATCTTCAAAACGGCACTGACATTTGTTGACAGTGTGAGCGAAATATATGGTCCACTAATAAGCGGTTTAGCTATCCTGGTTGTTCCGAAAGCTGTTACTAAGGATCCTCAGCAGTTAGTGGCCCTTTTGGAGGAATACAAGGTAAGGTGCATGTTGAGATTTAAACAAAATGGAAACTACAGTAAGGAAAACCATCAGGGCAACGGAAGGTGATATTTGTTAGAATCATCCATTTTTTGTTTTGAAGGTTCTGAAAACCTGATTAGGTGAACGGATTAATATCCTTTTTGCCTCTCAAGTATTCTTCAATTCTATCTTGCTTAGATAAGAGCTTTCGTAACGTACCGCGCTACAAAAGTGCGATAAGGGTAGTTATAACGTTACAAAGGCAGCTCGGTCCCGTTATATGTTCCAACACTTATCATTTCCTAACTTCCGCAATCCCATACTTCTAGAAGACTAATGTTCTTGTACATAAATCCAAACTTCCCACAATAATTCATCGCAAATTCTCATTTAATCTCTACATACTTTTTTGTTTCAGATCGAGAGGCTCGTTCTAGTGCCGTCGCTTTTGCGTTCTCTGCTTCTGTATCTGGAATTACAAGTAAGTACGTACTTTTGTGCAGAGGCCTTTCTGTTCTGAGAAAAATAAAGTACGTTAAGTATAAAAAAATAAAAATCGAAATTCGTATACAAAGGGTAATTAAAATGTAATCTGCGAACAATAATAAATGGTCTTTATTTTACCTGGCGGGTTACATCAGCACAAGCTGTTTTTCAGAACCAACCAGGGCTAAAAAAACAATTCAAGTACATGCAAATACAACAAAAATACATTGAAGATAATAACATTTAAAGCAGAAAAAAAATTTTTTTTACAGAATCGTAGCATGGTATAATGACCAAAAGACCAAAAGAGAAACGTGCAGCAACAGAGTTCGTCGCAGAATCAAAAACCGTGATTAGAAGTAACTGTAAAAAAAGGAAATATTAGGTATATGGCGGAAGATATAAAAATTAAAAGTAAACAGTAACAAATGTGTAAGCAAAACACGAACAAATGAAAAGTGACGAGTGAGAAAACATGCACAAATAAACAAATATAAAAATAAAATTACATAAAAATACATGCTACATGAAATCAAAAAAAAAAATACATGCTACATGTCATCATAGACAAAGAGCCTAACTTTTCTTTTAAAGCTGGACACAGATAGAGTTTTCAAAGCTTGAGGTACTTTATTGTAGAAATCGGGCGCCACATATGAAAAGCTCTTTCTGAATTGGGTTGTTCAGTGTCGAGGCAAGTCAAGAGTATATCCTACAAAACGCAGGTTCCCTGAGTGATGATCACATCTCATGGGATCTTATGACAAGATGTTTTTTACAAGCTTTCATTGGAACTGAATTTTTAACCAGTTTACCTTAACCAATTGAGCTGAAATTTTGTGCACACGTTTGATTTTCGTGATAGCACAAAACGTATTAACTGCAATATAGCGCATACTACAAAATGGCAAATCACATTTTACATAGTCACCATGATATAGGTATCAAGTTAAAGGGCTTGAGAAAAACATAACAGGCAACATGACGTAATTCTAAATTCAATATGGCGCTAATCTTACGTAAATCACATCTTTCCGATGTCAGTGGTAATTTCAATAAGAGAAGTGACGTCATCATAACTGCCTCCGTTTTCGCGAAGAAGAAATTTGAACTGGTGGGTTCTATCGGCATTTTCTTCAAATAAATTGTTTTGTTTTAATACATGATTGCCAATAGTTGTGTGAATTTGTTAAAATTCTGTTATTAGACTTTAACTCAAATTAGACGAAAAGATGTGGAAGGGCCGAAAAAACTAGTTAAATCATAAAACCAGGAGATGCTTACTTTGAGACGCACTCCTGAAAGGTTTTGTAAAAAACTAAAATCTGCCTTTTTTCAGTTGTTTTTGAAAGGAAGCAGTTTTTGGCGATATTTATCTAGTCATCCACCATTTATACAATAGAGAGATCTTCCTCGCAAGAGAGCAGGGAAATGCAAAAAAACACCTCTTCAAAAATGTTTAGCGATTAAGAGAAAGCTCAAAAGTAATTGGTCTAACAGTAATTGATAGAGTGATGAGACTGTAAGGCGAAGATTATGAGCCGTATTCATAAAAGAGAAGCATATCCTCGGAAGCATAAGGTAAAAGTATAAGTTCTTGCTTCGAAGAAAAAGGTAGAAGTATAAGCATATCCTTGTTTTCATATTCATAATGATTACCTTATACTCGCGAGGATATCCTCCAAGAAGAAGTAAAAGGTTGACTGGTATTTGTATCTTGAGCGACATGTCCTGACTTGTTCCAGCTTATAGTTGACGTGAGGGTTCGTTCACTCAGCATCACTGACAGTTGTACTCCAGAGCTTACACAAACCGTTCCGTATTTATACTAGATACATTTTTATCAAATTAATAAGCATGTCATCCTCAAGTGATGAGGAAACTATAGAAAATAATGGCAACGACCTGCAGTTCATCGCAGATGAAATTGCCATTGCTCCCATTATTTTGAAAAGTCACAAGTTCCAAAAACAAAAATGAGAAAGGACGATACCTTGAAGAAGATGTTGAAAAAATACGAATCAATATTCGGTAAACCATTAGATACTGAAGGCTTATTAAAAAAAACAACAACATGACATCAGGATTGAAGAAATAAACAGATCTAGAAAAAACTGGTAATACAGCAATTAAATTGTTAGATTGGGGAAGAAAGTTGCTGAAAGCTATGGAAGGTGACTGTAATCCTACAATTGAGAAAACTAGAGGTGCCATTCAGGTTGGTAGTGTTCAAGAAGAAGGAACTGAACTATATACCGAGCGCAGTGAGCAAACAGTTAGTATTACAGCTCCAGCAATTCAGAAGACATTGCCACCAAAAAGAAAATTAGCAATACAGAAATACGAAACTGCGGAAACCAAAGGGTTAACTACAAAAGAACTGCAACGTCTAGTGGTATTATAGCACTACCAAACAAGTATTTTACAACAACAGTATTATAAAACGAAATCAGAAGTGATGCAGCGTTAGAAGCCACCTGTAACTTATAATGTTCACGAAAATAAAAACTTATAAATACACTTTAATCAGTAAAATTATTTATTATAATACTGAAGTTTCTTCATATTTGTTGACCTAGTTGGCGGAGAGGAACTTCGTCATTCTCATGATTCCCTTCATCCTCCTTATTATCATCTATGTCTGCACCTGGAGTAGGATTTCTGAAGGGAGTCATAAGGCATGGCTCAATACCATAACTGTCATCGCCAAGTAGTACAACATTTGCTCTATTTATTAGTTGTGATCTAGTCTGTGAATTTCTCCATATTCTGGAATCAGGCACTGATCCAGGCCAACTAACATCAACACTTGTGAACATCTCTCTGGCATCACAAGTGGCTTGCACATTTAAAGTAGGTTTGCCTTTTCGGTTGATATACTCATCTCCATGGCGATTTGGTTTCAGAATTCCTATATGTGCACAATCAATTACACCAATTGCTGTCAGAAATGTATACATGCTTTGCCATATCCGATTGGCCTCCATCAGTTCATGGTTGGTAGTTGGAAACTTGATTCATTCGTTCGACTGTGCAACTATGCTATTCACAACTCTATCCACAGTCCGAGATACCGTTGCTTGACTAACACCAAGTTCCGGACCAATACCTTGATGATATCCAGGGTCACCGAGTTAGCGTAGACATATCTTCATTTTATGAATACATGAAAGTGCTCCTCCTCGAGTTTCCTCATTCTCAACTGAAGATTTGTCCGCAAACCATTGTACATTTGCTACTTCGAACCGACCAAGTGAAGGTAAACGGGGTTTGTACGTTTTAACATCCCTAACATCCACAATTTCCGCCATCATCGTTTGACCACCTTTCGTTACGAAGTTGAGTCTGCTAATTAATGACCACACTCAGGTGAAGATTATGAATATCCTTTTACTTATGTCACTGCTTTGAAGGATATGCTTATAAAGCAAAAATCAGAAGCATTTACTTCAAATTATTATAAATACCATCTGGAGGATTTCCTCCAAAATTTGCAAGTACAAGGATATCCTTTGTTTTATGAATACGGCTCAATGTTCCGAAATACTCAAATGCTACTGAGCTATGGACCCTTGAGCAATCCTCTGTCGGAACTTTGATAAACAATTGCTCACACATTTGCCTTTAGGATGCAGACATAATGTGATTATTTTGAGCAGCTATGAATGTAACACAATAGTCTGTATATTCCTCAGCAATTCGACTGTTTTGAATAAATGTTTAATTGAGATACATCACTCACTCGTGAATCTTGCTAATGCTAATTATCTTTTTTCCAGAAAACTGAGCACCTGCTCGGAAATCTACGTTTGTGGGTGTGTTCGGGAGAAACACTGGTAGTTTCACTTTCCAAGGAATTTTACAAGTACTTCCCAGAAAATGAGCACACGCTTTGTAATTTTTATGGAAGTACTGAAATTATGGGTGACGTCACGTACTACGTAGTACCAGGACTTAACGAGTTGAAACACATGGATAAAGTAGCAATAGGTAAAGAATAGCCTATCAAGAGCTCAGGAATGGAAAAAGAGCCTCCAAGTTTTCGAAGTACCTGATCGCTTTGAGGCTCTGGAAAAGTTCTCTGGACTTAAAGGCCTACTCTTCCTAGAATTATAAAAAAATGTTATTGTCCCCAGAATCTGCCACATGTTACAAAAAACATCTGCGAATGTTAAAGCTTATATTTATGTTTGCGCAATACAAGTACTTATTATTTATATCGTAGTGCTGGGAATGAATTAATATTTTTAAATGGGGAATCCTATTCTTTGCAAGCTATTTTCTCTGAAAATTATAAGTTTGTTGTAGCATTCCAATAAAGTCGTGTACAAATTACTGAGAAACTTCAAGGATCTTGGGAAAAACAGTCATGATATTAACTGGATTACTTTATTAACTAGAATTTAGTATGTGTCATTTTTTGTATTACCAGGCGTACCAATCGACAATACTGCCATATACCTGCTAGACCAACAGTTCAGACCAGTCAAGAGTGGTGACGTAGGCGAACTGCACGTGTCAGGACTAAATTTGGCCGCAGGATATGTGGCAGGACGAGATCCTGACAAGTTCGTCGAAAACCCATTGGCTGTCGATCCTGCCCATGCCAAGTTGTATCGTACCGGAGATTTTGCTAGGTAAGAAAATAATGAATGTTTCGTATACAGAGTGTCCCGGAAGTAGACGTCAAACCAGAGACCGGGAATCGGCCATGTCATAAAAGTTATTAGGAAAATATACAACAAAATCAAAATGGTGTAGTATGGCTTTAAAAAAATCTACACCCTAAGATGAGCTTGTACGAGCCCCTTCCCACTTCAGTTGGCCCAACTATTGAAATCTTAGTTTTTTTCTTATCGAGCACAAATAATAAAAACGTAGCAGGATGTTATAGGTTTAAAATATTAACAATGAATATTTTGATAATATATAGTAGAAACGACCAACTTTATCACTCCCTAATCAAATTTGCAGCATAAAAATAACACATGTTGGAATTACAGCATATCAACCTATTTTCATTTCAATTCAAAATAAGTCTACAGGGTGACTTTGAAGTTGAGTCATTAATTTTCAGATAATGATTGTAGAAGGAAGATAAACCAAAATATGTGTGTAAAAATTAAAAAAAAATTAAAAAAAAATGTTACCTTGTTTTACAAAGTATCCTCCCGACAAGTATTTCAGTGCGGACCTGTATTTGATCGTGCGGTCTTGGAGCACCGGCATGCCCTCCCCTGTGAGGTCTTAAGTCACCTGATTCACGAGCCCTTTGTACTACATTAACAAAGGCACGAGGGGTTGGTTGCACTCGATTGGGAAACCGATCCGCATAAATCCGTGATGCCGCGTAAATAAGAATCATGTCCACAAGTTCAGCATTTTCGTAAACATGTGCCATTTTTGATTTCGTTTGAGCCACGCAACAGACACCACTATTCACTCACGCGTTACCGACTGACACTAACTGAATACAACTGAATAAAATAATTGTAAAAACATCGTTCCAAATTCTTTCGCTTTTTTGTTTCCGATGCGATGAACCGATAAGGCGGATTATATCCGTTGTTGCCAAACACGAGCACATAATATTATTATTGAGACAGGGCGGTACTCAAACTTCCAAAGGGCTATAACTTTGTTACTTTAATTTTACCAGAAAAATGGTATAGGAAAAAAACATTTCTTTTGATCAGATCTACTCACTGTTAAAATAAATGACTCAATTCCGGAGTCACCCTGTATAACGCATAGGTGGCCGTGAAAAATAAAAGCCAATGCAATTGTTTTTATTAATCACAGCTGTCAGAATACCTTTAAAATAGTTTTGGGTACACCAACGAGCTTTGCTCCTCAGAGCTCTCTTCCATGATGCCGTCGCGCGATGTGCCTGCCAGACAGACCCGCCTGACTTTGGCGTCCCATCTAACCGTGTCGAACTCCGTACATCCAGAACCGGCCGATACGACCGCTCCTTTGTCCGGAGGGTGTCGAGATTGTGGAACAATCTACAAGAGGAACCTTTTCCCAGTTCCTTAGGCACTTCAAAAATCGTATTAATAAAATTTCTTTGGGATCATCATAGTAGCCGCGGTGTTCCGGCATTTAGGCTTCTGCCTACGTGGCTGCTTCGATATAAAAAAAAATAATTTTGTAGTTTTAGCTTTTACGATTTCTTTTAGAAGCTTGGAATAACGGGCTACAAAACAAATGTTGGTCCTTTTCTCAGTTTCGTATTTCCAACTTGTAGAGTGAAAGCTATACAACTTTTATAAACACAGACCTCTTGGAATCCAGGATTCTAAAAGATAGTAGAATAGTAGAAACAGGTGTTTGCCTTTAAACATCTTGAAACTAGCATAGCCATGTTTTTTTTTTTAGAGAAAGTACGAAAAATCCTTTCAAGGAGAAAACCACTTTTGTGTATTTTTCAGTATCTTTGAAACGGCGTGATTGAAAACATATTTGAAGAAAGCAACATTTCTTTTCATGTGCTCTACGGCCCCAAATAAACATTTATGTATTCTCTCCATGCGATACAAAATGACTATTGAAGCTTCAAAAACAGGTTTAAGATGTTTGTAGCTACTATGTACGAATTTGAAAAAACTATACACAAACTTTGTCTCACATGTCAATATCTAATCGCGAAACAATAAAAAGGGTGAAGATGATACAGTACTCCTGGGTCTGTAGCTGGAATTCTTGCTTTGGACCTAGAACCATTCTCTTCCTTACGAAAGATGTAGTTGCGTTTTCGTCACTACAAAGTAATAGTTCACCTAAAAATTGGCAAATTCGATCCAAAACGTTTTCAGCAGTTTTCACCATTCGGGGAGCTTGGTCATCCCTCCTTATATACGCCAGACACTATGCATTTTGCATTCTACGTAACTTTTAAAACTTATCCAACAAATAAAAGCACATAAATTGGAAACATCACTTCTTCGATTTTCCAGGATAGAAAAGGGTATATTGATCTATGAAGGTCGAACAGACTCCCAAGTCAAAGTTAGAGGTCACAGAGTTGATCTGTCAGAAGTTGAGAAGGCAGTGGCAGCAATTGAAGGGGTAAGTTACTTCACTAACCGCTATGGTTCAAAAAGCCTTTGTTTTTACTTTTTATATGTTAAAAGGGCAATACTTTGATCGAGAAAAATTGAGATAACAAATATCAGAACTTGCTTTCGATTCAGATTTCAGGCTTTTGTTTTTTTTAGGAATATTAGAGAATCATAAGAACTATTTCAAACTTTCTTTATCCTTCTTCATTTCTTATCTCAAATGCAACACTAATAAAACAAAATGTATGTCAGTAGAGAAACATTTAGGTGACAATACAGTTAGGCTCATGCTTAATGATGAAAAAACTGCAGTAGTCGAGTCATTAACCATGAGCATTTTGTTATCTTTTCTATTTATATTCCGCCTTCAATTCATTTGGACATGTTTGGTCAATACCTTAAAGCTTTGGAAGTATTTAACAATGCATTCAGTAATTGTAAAATAATTGTTGCTGGTGACTTTAATGTCGCATCATTCAACAGTGATGTTAATGATCAGAAGTCTCAATTAATGAGCAACTTTATTTCGTTTTTAGATTTAACTAATTTTAATAGTATTCCAAATATAAATGGTCGAATACTGGATTTAATTTTAGGAAATATCGAAATAGAAGTCCTCAGAGATAATACACCTTCTGTTAAAGAGGACGTTCATCATCCTGCACTTATCATGGAATTCATTACATCCGGATCTCCAAAGAAATTCCCATTTGCTAATTCTCCACGGTTTAACTTTCGCAAGGCTAACTTTCCTGAAATGTACACAGCCTTGCAAGATGTTAATTGGACGGAGGTGATCAGTGCAGTTAATGTTGATGTCGCTTGTACCGCCTTGTATTCAGTTATCAATAACATCTTTGAGGTCCATGTCCCTAAGTGTAAAAATAAAATGTTTTCGTATCCCCCATGGTTCACACGTGAATTTATACTTAATATCAAGAAGAAGGACATAGCAAGAAGGAACTGGAAACGTGACGGTGCTTTTCTTATGATCAGTTCAGTAATTTTAGGAAGCTCATTAAGAACCAGATCAGTGTTGCCTACTCCGCTTACGTCCAATCGGTTGAGGATGCCATTGTCAATGATCCTAGCAAATTCTGGTCATTTGCCCAGATAAAAAACAGCTATCTAGAATCCCTCCAAGGATGACGCTTAACGGCAATGTCTGCTATACGCCTCAGGATATAGTGGACAGTTTTGCTACCTTCTTTTCAACAGTTTTTATCCGGTCTGGTCTACTAGGGTCATCTCCTCCAACAAATAATTCTACCGATATCATTTCTTTAAAAAATATAAGTGAAGAAAACGTAATTAGGGCTTCGAAAAGATTAAAGAACAAAATGACGTCTGGATGTGATGGTATTCCAAGTTTTTTCATTAAAGATTGCATTCATATACTAGCGAAACCGGTGGCTTCCATATTCAACCTAATTCTAAAATCAGGGACATATCCAAATATCTGGAAGACCTCTAAAATATGTCCTATTCACAAAAGTGGAGATATCTCTGATATTTCCAACTATCGCCAAATAGCAATCCTGTGCAATTTCAGCAAGTTGTTTGAGATCATCGCTTATAAAACGGTTTACTGCTCGGTCAGGGGTGCAGTCTCTATTAATCAGCATGGGTTTATGAGAGGCAGATCTACGGTCACCAACTTGGCTCTAATTACTCAGTACATTTCTGAAGTACTGGTCGGTCAGGGACAAGTTGATGTCATCTACACAGATATTCAGAAGGCGTTTGATCAAGTTGATCATTATGCACTTCTGGATAAGCTTAAAACAGTGGGTATGTCTGATGCAATGCTGTCGCTCATGAATTTATATTTGAGGGATAGAAGGTCATTTGTCGAATATGGTGGTCATAGGTCGAGTTACTATCGGGCCACGTCTGGGGTACCTCAAGGGTCAAATCTAGGTCCATTATTGTTTTTAACATTTATTAATGACTTGTCTTTTGAACTGAAGTGTTTCCATTTGTTTTTCGCTGATGACCTTAAAATCTGCACGTCAGTCAAGACAGTCGAGGATTGCGTCATGTTGCAAGATGACTTAGCTCTAATTTCGTCATGGTGTTCACGAAACTGTCTCAGTCTGAATGTTTCTAAATGTAAAGTTATGACTTATACAAGAAAAGTTAACTATTTAATTTATGATAATTATAACATCAATGGTCAGGTTATAGACAGATGCACCTCTTATAGAGACCTTGGTGTCATTTTTGATACCAAGCTAACGTTTACTGAGCATATACTCAATATCTCGTCAGCTGCCACTCGACTACTTGGTTTCTGTATCAGAAACTGGAAGGGTTTCTCCAATGTTGATACATTAATGACTTTATTTTTTACTTTTGTCACGAGCAAGTTGGAGTATGCAACTCTGATCTGGTCTCCTACATACTAAAATTCTGTCTTGATCCTTGAGGCCATTCAACGTAAAGCTTTAAAGTATTTTCACCTTAAATGCACAGGTTCTTATCCAGAATGAGGTTGTGACCATAGTGCCCTATTAGAGTTTTTCAATTTGGATTCACTGTCAACAAGACGAAACATATTTGCTTTGTCGTTTTTGTATGGCCTCATTCACAATACAATTGACTATCAAAATTTACTTGAAAAAATATGTTTCCGTGTTCCAAGGCTAGGGAGTCGACAACAAACGGCATTCTATTGTCAAGCTGGCCGTACCAATGTTATGACAAAATCGCCAATTAATCTCATGTGCTGCGTCAAGAACAGTGTTACTGAATCGTGTGATATTTACAGTTACAGTTGTGCATCGATTGTTAACTGCTATAGATCATCCAATCTTATTTAGAATGTGTGATACTATAGATTTAAGTCCAAGAACCATGTCTCTTTAATTGTTATTTTTTTCAGCATTTCCTGTAATTGGGTTTCACCTGTTGGAAATACATAAATAAATAAAAATAAAATAAAATTTAAATATGTGTGGATAGTGAGCTACTGTTCAAGAGCATTATGAATACATTATTTAAAAATATCAAAAAAGATAATTTAAAAATTTTCCCATAATCTCAGTATGTATTCCAAAAAAATTTGTGTATAACACTATAATTCTTACCCATTTTTTATATTGTTCAACCATCTTGTTTACAGCAAATAAACACATATTTACAAAATTACAGATTCTACAAAATAAAGCTATGAGAAACAATTTTAAATAAAAACAGATATGCTAAGTTTTGGTCTATGTCAGAAGAACTACAGGGGTTGAATGTAAAAAATTCTATATGTTATTTAGATCTCATTTTCATATTCAAATTAAACATCATGTATTACCATCACATTTAGAACACTTCACAGATTGAAATGGTCATTATTATAACTACGAAACTAGAGGTAGTATATATTTTCATCTGCAAAATTGTAATAGTAGTATAACTTGCAGGTCTGTATTTCTAAAGGGCGTATTTGAATTCAAAAAATTTAATAATATTAAACACCGTTCGAATTTAAAAAAACCTTAAATTGAAATCAAAAAATACTTTATGATTAGTCAAAATTGATTCAAAAATGTGAAGACGAATAATTACACCAAATTGACATTGAAGCATTGATGCTGAATGAATCTTAAAAAAACAATTTACAGATAGAGAAAGCTGTAGTGTTATGCTACAATCCAGGAGAGATGAACCAGAGCCTACTAGCTTTTGTGACTACAAACACGCTGATGAGTGAACATCAAATAGAAACTATACTGAAGGAAAAGCTAACGTCGTACATGGTACCTCAGGTGATCCTCTTAGAGACCATCCCCCTATTGGTTAATGGCAAGACAGACAGACAGGCGTTGCTGAAGTTATATGAGAATACCAATAACAACGGTAATTTTCTCTATCTATTTGGTTTGCGAAATGGCTAGAATCACGGCTGCACAATCTGCCTGTTGAAACTGAATTCTATTTCGTTTTGTCGGTCGAGTCACCGCTGTGTTACACGGTTACAGTCACCGGTTACTTCAAAATTCAGTCCCAAGTAGTTTTGACTAAGCATCTTGGTCAAAACTACTTCCAATTTCAAAAATATTGGGCAATAGTGACAAAATTGTTACGATCAAAAGTTTTTTTAATATTAATTAAAAATCATAGGTGTTTCTGAACTCGTATAATTATTTATTCAGTTGACGAACATTTTACGTAATATTTTCTTGCCATTATAGTTTCTACTGAAAGGTAATAAACATTTCAATCATTTATCGAGATTGTCGTTATACAATAAAACCAATTAGAGAACATCTTATTTATTTACTATCTATGTGACAAATGAAAAGGCAAGAGTATGATAAGAGGGGAAAATAAAAACTTAAAATTGTTAATTCCTTGTTAAGCCTAAAGCTAAATTTATTGTCAGGCAAAACCACTTTTGAGTTAAGTTATCGGTTCCGAGCTTTGACTGCAACATTGGCGTATATTCGCGCAATAATGGATATTTTTCTGCTCGTTGGAACTATTCATGAGGAATTTTAAATATTTTTTCAGGCCACTCAATTCATGAAGTAGAAATGAACTACGATGGCGTATGTCCAATCCAAAAGGAAGCAGCCAAGGTACTTTTTGAAACCGTGGCTAGTGTTTTGAGCAGATCCGCCAGAGGTGTCATATCAGTCAACTCCAACTTTTACGAAATCGGAGGAAACTCTTTGAACTCCATCTACACCATATCAAAACTCAACGAACAAGGATACCATATTAGTGAGTCATGATTGTTACCAAATTTATTTTCGATAAGCTATTATCTAACTGATTTTAAGCAATATTTCAACGATATGTCTGATTATTATTAGACAAATTGGACAAACCCCTTCTTCTTGTTGAAATTTGATCTTCCGCTGTTCATAAAAAGGCGAACGATACGATTACTCCTTCGTATCAATGGCTTAGAACATATTCTACCAAATCTTCACTAGTCTATATACAGGGTGTTTCAGTTTATTGTTGCACAACTTTAAGATCCGATATAACTTTTAAAATTAATGCATAAAGTCTATATAAACATGGGTCGAAAAATGCGTGGCTTTCGAAATACTAACAAACTAAATTTACTTTCTAAAATAGTTTTTTTTTAATATTTCGAACAACATTTGATGTATAACAGTGCAAATTGGTATACAAGTGTTTTTTGGTACGACAAAACGAACCATGGGCATAGTTTTACTGTGGCCGCTAGAGGGCGCTCTCTATTGTATTAAAATGACCGAAAATTTTTTCTTAGTGCAATTTTTTGCCTTTTGAATAAATAAGCTGATTCTTCGCACTTTTCAACATAAAAAAGCTCTCCTGTGAATTTTCGTTATAGTGAGCCGTTTTTGAGATATTTCGAGTTTTAAGGTTCGATGCATTTTTAATTATTTATGATAAAATAACGTTAAAAAGTCAGTATCTCGGTAATTTTTAGAAGTAGACTGCGCCTGCAAATATTTTTGAAATTGAAAGCAGAATTGTGTTAAACGTCAATTAGTTGACAGTTAGTTTTGTTGTCTGTTGAAACCTGAAACGTTTTTTTGCAATTGTGAATGCACGAAATTTAGTTTCTTTTACCTGTTTTTTTTTTGTAAGTTTTATAAAATTGCCATTTTTATTCTCCAATCAAGAGTTAGCGGATATTCATTTTGTGTATGGCTTTATAAATGGAAACGCAGCAGAAGCAGCCAGAGAATACGCACGAAGATTTCCAAACAGACGACACTCAACTCGCTCAGTGTTTGTAAGAGTGCATCGCCAAATAATTGAAAATGGTTTTGGAAATCTCCAAAGGGATCAAAACATAAATGTTCGTCAGCGCAGATTTATCCGTAAGACCACAAGTGTTAGGAGAGTTTCTGGTGCCTTGGGAATTTCAGCAAGCCATGTTCATCGTGTTCTTAGAAATGACCATAGACGTCCTTAACGCTTTATGGACCGATGAGTCATGCTTCACTAGACCTGGAGTGGTAAATTTTCATAATCAACATATTTGGTCGCATGAAAATCCGCATGCAGTTCGGGAAAGAAATTTTCAGCATGAATTTAGTGTGAACGTGTGGATTGGTATCTACCGTAATCGACTATTTGGACCCTACCTTTTGCCTGCAAGGTTAAATGCTGCGACCTTCTTGGCATTTTTAAAGGCTGAACATGCAAATATGTGGGATGATGTTATGTTAGATTTAAGAAGATTGGCCTGGTTCCAGCTTGATGGTTGTCCAGCTCATTATTCGAGAATAGTTAGAAACTGGCTGGACGAACATGATCCAGAAAGATGGATCGGCCGTGGAGGACCACTCGCCTGGCCTCCACGATCCCCTGACCTAAATCCATTAGATTTCTTTGTGTGGTGATTTCTAAAAGAAAAAGTGTACCAGGCTCCCGTAACCACAACAGATATGCTAATAGATAGAATCAGGAATGCATGTGATGAAATAAGGCCTTATTTGAATAATGCTATACCACGTTCGATCATTCGTAGCTGTGAATTGTGTATTGAACAATTGGGTTTACATTTCGAACAACTCCTTTAGATTTTGTATGTTTGTCCTAACTATCCAATAGCACTTTAGTTGTAAATAATTAATTTAATTTGTTAAAAATAATATTGGAAAATTAAACAAATTAATATTCTGTTTTTTGTGTTTATTTGGAGTTAGGAATTATTGCTGTGTTTAAAAACACAATCTAGACGATCATCTTAATTACTTGTAATGCCCAAATCGAAAATGTAAAAAAAATATTATTTTCCCATAAATATTTAAAAATGCATCGAACCTTAAAAATCGAAATATCTCAAAAACGGCTAACTATAACTCACAGGAAAGCTTTTTTATGTTGAAAAGTGCGAAGAATCATTTATTTTATTCAAAAAGCAAGAAATTGCACTAAGAAAATTTTTTCGGTCATTTTAATACACTACAATAGAGCGCCCTCTAGCGGCTACATTAAAACTATACCCACGGTTCCTTTTGCCGTACCAAAAAACCGTTGTATACCAATTTTCACTGTTATACATCAAATATTGTTCGAAATATTTACAAAAAACCATTTTAGAAAGTAAATTTAAACACCCTGTATTTCGGAAGCCACGCATTTTTCGACCCATGTTTATATAGACTTTATGCATTAACTTTAAAAGTTCTATCGAATCTAAAAGTTATGCAACAATAAACTGAAACACCCTGTATAAGTCATAAACATTGACTAACTCTCCATACTATATTTGCATACACCATAATTGTGTTTACAAGAGTAATTATTTGTAGCAGATTGAAGGTAAAGTTTGAAGAATTGAGCGTCTCTAAAAAAATACAGTGAGGTAGTTTTCTTATTTGGAAAAATAGTGCCACTTATCCCCTGTATCTAATAATTGTTAATAATAATTTCTACTTCAGGTGTAACATCTGTGGACGTTCCAAAGAATAAAGTTTGATTAAACAATAAATGATTCAAAATTTCTTCAGTATAAGAATGTTATTAAAAGCTACAGGACTGACATTTTTCGATGTTTTAAATGACTTGTAGGTATTGGAGACTTTATATCAGCAATGGACCTAGGTGAAATACTACTCAGGATGACTTCCGATGCGAAAGTCTACACACAGCCTCCCACCTATTTTAGTGAGCCACTGAAGCCTGGTTACAAAGATATAGCTACTGAGTAAGTATGAACATGGTTTTTGAGAAATATTATTTTAGTAGCTACGGAAACCCAAAACTTCTCCTCACACGCAGTTATACTTTTCAGCAGTCGCTGGTAGGAACTAATCGTCGATATTTACAGAATAGTGCGAGCAGCCTTTGAGGCGCCCGTGTCACGTAACGTAAGGTCGCATGACCCTTTTCTTCAACTGCCTGTTTGGACCAGCTCTCGAAATCCTTTTCATCTGATTATTTTATAATGTGTATAAAGGTGACTAAAATTCAATATTATCAATTTTTTTTGTCAAAAAATCCGTTTTTTGTACATTTTGATGTGCAATCTTTCTCCAGTCGTAACTTGTTGACAAATATTAGTGTAGCTTTGAAAATGCATGTCAAAAATCCACTTCTATAGTAGAATTAAGCGGTTGGTCACTTTCATTCTGATCACTTCTCTTTGAAAGCTGTTTGATTTTTCAAGAAAATCGTACATTTTTTGAAGAAGAGAAAGTGAAAAGCAAAGAGTGATTCAATACTTTCACAGAAGTAGGATACCCACAATGGTAACAGCTTGGGCGTTATTGCATAATTAATGAAACGTTATTAGCTAGCTAGGCAGAGCACCCTGTATGTACGACGGGGAATAGAATACTAATACCTTTAGAGCAGTGGGATGAGATGACTGATCTGGTGATGGGGTTTTAGTAAGTATGCTGCTTTTGTTAGATCTCACACTTTGAAGAGGAGAAGCCGACAGGATAATACTGTTGAGCTTTGTTGACTAAAACTAGCTATAAAAGCTTCCTTCCTTGTCAAAAAAAAACAATTTGTAGGGCGTTCCATCGCCTACATACAGGGTGCTTCAGTTTATTGTTGCGTAACTTTAAGATTCGATAGAACTTTTAAAATTAATGCATAAAGTCTATATAAACATGGATCGAAAAATGCGTGGCTTCCGAAATAAAGGGTGTTTAAATTTACTTTCTAAAATAGTTTTTTTTTTAAATTTTTCGAACAATATTTGATGTATAATAGTGAAAATTGGTATACAATGGTTTTTTGGTACGACGAAACGAACCATGGGCATAGTTTTACTGTAGCCGCTATAGGGCGCTCTCTACTGTACCTGTAGTGTATTAAAATGACCGAAAATTTTTTCTTCGTGCCATTTTTTGCTTTTTGAATAAAAAAACTGATTCTTCGCAATTTTCAACATAAAAAAGCTCTCTTGTGAATTTTCGTTATAGTTAGCCGTTTTTGAGATATTTCGATTTTTAAGGTTCGATGCATTTTTAATTATTTATGATGAAATAACGTTAAAAAGTCAGTATCTCGATAATTTTTAGAAGTAGGCTGAGCCTGCAAATATTTTTTAAATTGACAGCCGAATAAGGTTAAACGTCAATTAGTTGACAGTTAGTTTTGTTGTCTGTTGAAACCTGAAACGTTTTTTTGCAATTGTGAATGCACGAAATTTAGTTTCTTTTACCTGTTTTTTTTTTGTAAGTTTTATAAAAATGCCATTGTTATTCTCCAATCAAGAGTTAGCGGATATTCATTTTATGTATGGCTTTGTAAATGGAAACGCGCCAGAAGCAGCCAGAGAATACGCACGAAGATTTCCAAACAGACGACATTCAACTCGCTCAGTATTTGTAAGAGTGCATCGCCAAATAATTGGAAATGGTTTTGGAAATCTCCAAAGGGATCAAAACATAAATGTTCGTCAGCGCAGATTTACCCGTATGATTCTGCGTGAGTTTGTTAGAGATCCGACCACAAGTGTTAGGAGAGTTTCTGGTGCCTTGGGAATTTCAGCAAGCCATGCTCACCGTGTTCTTAGAAATGACCATAGTCGTCCTTACCATTTGCAACCTGTGCAAGGACTACAGCCAGGGGACGGAGAACGAAGAATCACATTTTGTCAGTGGATTCTTGATAGAACTGATAATAATAAGGAGTTTTTAAGTAACGTTTTATGGACCGATGAGTCATGCTTCACTAGACGTGGAGTGGTAAATTTTCATAATCAACATATTTGATCGCATGAAAATCCGCATGCAGTTCGGGAAAGAAATTTTGATCATGAATTTAGTGTGAACGTGTGGATTGGTATCTACCGTAATCGACTATTTGGATCCTACCTTTTGCCTGCAAGGTTAAATGCTTCTTGGAATTTTTAAAGACTGAACATGCAAATATGTGGGATGATGTTATGTTAGATTTAAGAAGAATGGCTTGGTTCCAGCTTGATGGTTGTCCCAGTCGCCTGGCCTCCACGATCCCCTGACCTAAATCCATTAGATTTCTTTGTGTGGGGATTTCTAAAAGAAAAAGTGTACCAGACTCCCGTAACCACAAGAGATATGCTAATAGACAGAATCATGAATGCATGTGATGTAATAAGGCCTTATTTTAATAATGCTATACCGCGTTCGATCATTCGTAGATGTGAATTGTGTATTGAACAATTGGGCTTACATTTCGAGCAACTACTTTACATTTTGTATGTTCGTCCTAACTATCCAATAGCATTTTAGTTGTAAATAATTAATTTAATTTGTTAAAAATAATATTGGAAAATTAAACAAATTAATATTCTGTTTTATTGTGTTTATTTGGAGTTAGGAATTATTGCTGTGTTTAAAAACACACTCTAAACGATCATCTTAATTACTTGTAATGCCCAAATCGAAAATGTAAAAAAAAAATATTTTCCCATAAATAATTAAAAATGCATCGAACCTTAAAAATCGAAATATCTCAAAAACGGCTAACTATAACGAAAACTCACAGGAGAGCTTTTTTATGTTGAAAAGTGCGAAGAATCAGTTTTTTATTCAGAAAGCAAAAAATTGCACTAAGAAAACATTTTCGGTCATTTCAATACACTACAGGTACAGTAGAGAGCGACCTCTAGCGGCTACAGTAAAACTATGCCCATGGTTCGTGTTGTCGTACCAAAAAACCCTTGTATACCAATTTTCACTGTTATACATCAAATATTGTTCCAAATATTAAAAAAAAACTATTTTAGAAAGTAAATTTAAACATCCTGTATTTCGGAAGCCACGCATTTTTCGACCCATGTTTATATAGACTTTATGCATTAATTTTAAAAGTTCTATCGAATCTTAAAGTTATTCAACAATAAACTGAAACACCCTGTATAAACTACTCATCATCATATTCCTATTTTGTTTATCCCAATATTTTGATCTGTGTTCCAGCATGATAACGCTGAGCTTCTACCACAAAGCCGACCTTGAGCAATGGATCTTGTCAGAACTCTCAGAGGCAGACTACAGAGAGCTGATAGACGCTATATGGGAACCCCTTCTTGAAAAGAACCTAAGCTTCGTGGTAAAGTCAGAAACGGGCAAGATAGTAGGAGTTGCATTGAACTTTGACGCGAGGGATGAACCGGAAGTTGAGATCAAATCAAAACTTACAGTTATTTTCGAATTTTTGGAGGCTATCGAAGGACCTATAAGGTAGGTTATTTACTATAGTATCGCAGAATTTGAGTCAATTTGAAATATCCTAGTAAGATACGATTCGGATGCAGGGAGCCTATATCAAGGATTTACAATACTTACAATACTTCCATTGTCATCTCCCATTGCTCTCATCGTAACTGTAACAGAAGATACTGAGGATCATGTATTAAGAACAGGCTTTTCTCTTTCCGGTTCCTATTAAAAAAAGCAAGCATTATTTCATTATTTCTTTATACATTTTTCGATCCATAATACATATCAAATCAAATTATTCTCAGTATGTATCTAGAGACGCATGTGCGACAGTATACAATATGCGACCAAACTTCAATTTGGTTGTGCCTATATCTTGTATCAAAAGGACCAAGTATAATAATGTTCAAGTTATATAACAAACTTCTAATAGATATCAAGTCTATATGACCAACATACGTTTTTAAAAACAAAGTAAAAAACTTTTTTAGACAAACCTTTCTACTCTCTGTACATGGATTTCAGTTTTTTATTTGTTGAATGTGTTACCTAGGTCTGTTTTATACGTATTTGACTATATTCCAACAGTATATATCATTGATTCCCAAAGTGGTCTATATCGACCCCTAGGGGTCTATGACAACCTGCAAGGGGTCGTCAGCGAAAAAAAATTTGGGGGTCCATGAAATGAATATGGGGGTCCACGATAGTGGATCTCAACACATACACTGATAGTACCTATTTACTTACATCATACTATCTTATAATATCAAAATATATACATTATTTATAAAAGTACCTATGAAGTAAAAAATTTATTATATACGTTTATAAAATTGTGTAAGTTGTAGGATGTTGGTATTCGCTTTGTGGTCGCAATACATTTTGAACTTGTAACAACCTGAGAGTCGCAGTCTCAGAGCTTCGCTACCTTGCACTGACTTGTTCAATTCGTCACTCTATAAATACGAATGTGGGACAAATACGTTTATTCGTTTCCTGAATCTTGAAAAGGAAAGTGCTAAGAAAATATTTTAAAAAATATAAACAGATAGTATATCACACAAATTATAGTGAGTCAGTGTTATTTTGTTTGAGAGTGCTGGAGAAAAGTAAGTACATTATTTTATATTAAATTTTAGTTTTGTACTCGTAGTTAGCAAAGATAGATAAATTACGCCAATCATGACTTTAGTTATTAGTAGTTAAATATTCATCATGCAAAATTACACGAGTACTCCTCAATAGCTTATTTTTTAAAGTTTTAGCAATCGGTAATATAATTACGGTGCAATCTCCGTAATTCGAGCTAATTGTTGCAAGAAGATGTTCGAATTATAGAATGTTTTCGGAAAAATCAACAAATATTTTTAATATACAGCTGCTGGATTTTCTGTCTTATTTAAATAATTTAATTTTGCCCACAGATGACTGATGCCATGTCCGAATCTAAAAAGAAATGTAGACAGTACAGTGTTGATTATTTGAAATTTGGCTTCATTCCATCATTGCCAAACAAACAATCGCCTATGTGCCTTTTATGCAACAAAATTTTGGGCAATGACGCTATGAAACCATCTAAACTGCAAGATCATCTGAGAAGATGCCACCCTGATAAAACAGAGAAAGATTTGAAATACTTTCAAACACTCAAAGATAAATTTCAGAAGAGACCTACACTGGACAGAATGTTCGCTTCGACGCCGACGTCACAAAGAAATGATGATGGTTTGCGGGCGTCTTCAATATCTCGTTACTTATAGCAAAATCCAGAAAACCGCATACTATCGGAGAGAAGTTAATTTTGCCAGCCGTTGAAGAGGTTTTAAAAACTGTCCTTTAAGCAACAATACTGTTGAAAGACGTATTGATGAAATGAGTTCTGAGATTGAAAGGTTCTTATGTAATTATTTGCAAACGACACATTTCTCTACACAACTGGACGAGTCAACTTTACCTGATAATGCAGCATTATTATTGGCATATGTTCGTTTTATTATGAATCAAGAAATCTACGAAGAACTGCTCTTCGGAAGAACTTTGATAACCGACACTAAAGGTGAATCAATATTTCATGTTTTGAAGGATTACTTCATTGAAAAAGCAATTCCTTTATCAAATATAATATCAGTAGCTACAGATGGAGCACCTGCCATGGTTGGACGTTATCGTGGATTTATAAGCTATTTAAAACAAAATGTGTCAGGGGTGTTAGCAATACATTGCGTCATCCATCGACAACATTTAGTTGCTAAAAATTTGAGTGTTAGATTGCATGAATCACTTCATTTAGTCATTGATGCAGTAAACCGAATCCGAAGCAACGCGTTGAATACGCGGTTATTTGCGCAGTTGTGTGAAGAAAATGACGAACACTTTCATCAATTACTCCTTCACACTGAAGTACGCTGGCTGTCGAAAGGCTTATGTTTGACAAGATTTTTTGCACTTTTGAGACTATTTTAGAATTTCTGGATACTAAAGATAAAATTTTAAAAGAAAATTTAATGAAGAGGAAAACAAAATTTAATATGGTTAATTTGCAATTACAAGGCGACAGTTTAAATTTGATTAAAACAAAGATAAGCTGCCAGGAAGACGACGTTTCAACTTACGTTCAACATTTAAATGCCCTCTATTCAGATTTTGAATCTAGGTTTGAGGATATTTTGACTATGGTAATACCACCGTGGATAATTAATCCATATGGTGACATAGAAGAAACGAATGTCATAATACCAGAGGAACTGACTGAACCGAGGAGATTTAAGATTAACCCTTACAAAATTGACGCCAAATGTTGATAATTTATTATTAAAGCATCAGGTTCATCCTTCTCACTAAAAATATTGACTTATTGCTTATGTTATTTTATTTATAGTTTATTTTATGTTTATTGGTGTCTGACCAATAAATGCCCGCATTGGGAATAAGTGCCCGCATTGATTTTTTTAAAGAACCCCCTTTATAGAAAATATTTTTTTTTAAATTATTCTGAAAATTCAAGGATAGGTACACACTAAAATTCGTTAATTTTTTGCCTATTTTTAGATAACTTAAACGTATAAGAAGCGGAATTTATTCAAACTAACAGTGAAATTATTGTAGAGCATACGTTTATGTTATAATTAATAAACGAACTCGCTTATTGTACTATTTTAAGTAAAAAACTTTTTTATTATTTGTCACTTTTTTTTATTTCTATCCCTCTTATTTTTTTTTCAATGCGGGCACTTATTCCCAATGCGGGCACTTATTGGTCAGATACCTGTTTATTTAATGTTACGTACGTATATATTTTACATAACAGATACAAAATTTTATTTTGAGTAGTTTTAATTTAAATTCAATTAATAAATGTATAAATTAACATGTGTTTTTACTTTAAGTTTTTAACACTAAACTTCACCACAGTTAGAAATTTACAGGAAATCAATATCAGGTAAGTAGAGGGTCTACCCAACACGGAAAAACATGGCAAGGGGTCTACGACACAAAAAAGTTTGGGGAACTCTGGTCTATATTATTGAGTCTCATGGATACAAACCATCTATATATGCAAGAACAAGACTCGATCCACCGCGGTAATTTATGGCGCTGACTCCAAATATAACCATAAAATTCTACCAAAACATTTGATCGTAGCAGTATAGGTTTTGAAACTTCCTGTCAACCTCAGCGAAAAACCGATACCGAATTCGTGATCTACGAAGCGGATTTGCGGAATTGAAACAGATTTTGGTCGTCATGGCAGATGTGCAAGAATTTTTGGATGTACTTCTCAACCCAAAATGTCTGCTCGCTTTTTACAAACGGACAAAGCTTGGTGCTCTGCGGCCTGAATCTTCTTCTATCTGTTTCGTTACGTGTCAAATAAATATTTGATTGAAATACGACCGCTAGATGGCGACGATTCTAGCTCAGTAGTAAGTGTTGTATACTTGCCATTGAACAAAATCAGCATGCACTGCTACGACCAAAGACAACCCACCATGGATAGCTGTTTCGTTCTTTTTGGCTACTCCTCAGCATGGTATATGCAATTCACTGTTCGCAGTTGTTAATTCTTGTGTTAGATATGGCATATTTACTTCGCACAGAAAGTATGAAACAGCTGTCTATGATTGGATGCCTTTGGTCGGACGGATGAAGGCAGAGCATGTTTATTAAATATTTGATGCAATGTTTTGTGATTTCCGAATTTAGTGACGAAACATCCTTGCGCGAGAGGTGCTGAGCCGTTGTACACTTTACCTCCTATGCCACGAAAAGACTTTGTAGCTTTTGAAAATCGGTCCAATGGCAACGAAAAAGTAGGAGTCGCTCAAACTTTGTTTTTTTTTGTATTTCAGAGAGTCCCGATCATAGCTAGAAAGACTTTTTTAGACACAAAAAATTAGGGCTTGGGGATTGTCGGAGATGGAGCAGAGCATATCTCAATTCAATGCGTTTTCAACCTTGATAATCCTACACACGTATTGGACACATCTCACACCTCATAGCTTTTCCCGTATATTTACCCTGGAAACTTGAGGCTGATAGAGAAAAATGCTCAACAGATGGATACACCTACGTCACGACCGGATCTTGCCAGAGGATTGACACTCTCGGCAGGGCAGGGGATGAATCTCAAGCTCGCAGCTTTGTCAAATAGACAGGATCTATGGACTAATTGTATAGATCTATTTCATTTAATTTTTGATACGCATACATACTTGTTAGACTTTCTCTTGGGGCTGCAAAATCGTGCAAATGACTGACGAAACTGCACACGTCGCGGCCGCTTACATTACTTATTTTACATCACTGGTTAGCATATTGTACCTGAAGATAGAATACCATACGCTGTATTCCAGGACATAAAAGAGGTCTAAAATACGCTAGCGCTATCTATGAGACAGTAGCAGTACCCAAAAATTAGCTTAGAAATCCACTTTAAAAAGAGTTATAGAGTGTTTGGCTCTGCTACTGTTTCATCATCATCATCATAGCGCTAGAATCTTCCATCCCTTTTTGGCGCACCTCTAGTGGCTACCTTTTTGTCAGATGATGACGTAGCATGGAAAGAGTCAACCTACTTGATGCCATTTTTTTATTCTAGGGATAACCAGTTGCCACCTGGAAAAGGCGTAGTGCTGCATGCTTTCATGATGGCAACACATTATTCCCTATCACCTAAAGAAAACGTAGCAGTAATGCAGTTTATGGAGGACGAAGTATTGAAGCTTGCCCGAGAAAGAAATTTCACTGGAATACTAACTACGAACACAAGTCCTTTGACACAGGTATAGATACCTAGATGTTAGACTATAAGGTGATGGAGAGTAGGTACATACTTCAGTATAAACACCACCTGAGTTGTTCGAATTTGAAGGAATATCTACATGAGAAATATTTTTGTAGCAATATTTGGCCATCACTATGGCAAATATAGCCCAGTCATCGTAGCCCTATTGCTCGGCTGTATATCTTGGCTATATCTTCAATGTATAAACACATACACTTGTCAGAATTTCTCATCAGAAGGGGTACAAAATGAAGCAAGAATGACTGACACAATTGTACGGGTCTGCGGCTCACATTACATTAGCAATATACAAACATGTGTGACAATATACCTGGGCCATACTAAAAATATTGCGCTTTTAGAAGCGCCATTATATTCAAAATGAATCCTGGCAATACTCGAATTTTGCACACCGTCCAAAAAATTAATCATCAGTGGTATTATAATATATAATTGTACTGTAAAAAAGCCCACCGAGATGGCCGAACCATTGGTAATATTACGACTTCAAAATATGTTTGTTTTATTTTTTGACAAGCATAACATGGAGATTGGTACATAAAATGAGAGAATATTTCTGAAGTAGGTGGGTGGTTGGAGGTCTCTCAGATCACACACACAGATATACTAAGTGACATATAAATCCGAACACCCACTTTAAATGGTTTTATTTCAATAAAAGTTGGTGAATGTATTTATCTTACTGTAAATAACAAGTGAAAAAATTTTCAGCCTTATCAGTTGGACATTCCGGTGTTTATACTGTTTTTGTTTTAATTCACTAACGCTCTAAAAATGAATATTTCAGCCGCAGTAAAGAATCAACGTTGGCGGATTTTGGTTCTTGACATCCTTTACGATCGGTTACGATGCCTAGAGTACGGAGACCTGTACGATTTCGTCAACTTAGTGAGTTTGATAGGGGCCGTATAGTGGGACTTCGGGAAGCTGGACTTTCTTTTCGGGCAATTGCAGTTAGAGTGCAAAGAAGTGTAGACACTGTGGTTAGGTGTTGTCAGGCATGGCTTACGGAAGGCCGTACGCAAAGAGCAAGGGGCACTGGACGCCGCCGTAGAACAACAGACCGTGAAGATCGCCGCCTAAGATTATTGGCCTTAAGGGACCGTTTCTCCACTACCAGGTCCATTGCAAATGAATGGTTTGCAGAACCCGGAAGACCTATTGGCATGCGAAGTGTTTACCGACGAATGAGAAGTTTTGGCTTGTTTTCATACCGACCACACTGGGTCCTCCCTTTAACCCGAGAACACCGACATAATCGCCTTGAGTGGTGCAGACAACGGTCACTCTGGGATCAGGAATGGAACAGTATTGTCTTTAGTGATGAGTCTCGATTTTGTTTAGGCATGCACGATGGTCGTGCCAGGGTTAGAAGGCGACGTGGTGAAAGGAGGAATCCACAGTTTTTTGTTGAAAGACATGTTCATCACACTGTTGAAGTTATGGTTTGGGGTGCTATAGCTTATGGTTCCAGGTCACCTTTAATCTTCATCAGAGGTAACATGAACGCGCAGCGTTATATCCACGAAGTTCTAGAACCCCATCTTTTATCCTATCTTGACACCCTGGCAGATCCAACTTTCCAACAAGATAATGCCCGACCACATGTTGCAAGAGTCACAATAGACTTCTTTCAACATAATGATGTCACATTGTTACCATGGCCACCAAGAACTCCCGACTTATCCCCAATTGAGCACGTGTGGGATATGATGGGTAGGAGATTGCTCAATTTGCAACGTCCTCTTCAGACTCTAGAAGCACTTCGAGAGGAGTTGGTGGTTGCCTGGAATGAGATACCACAGGAGGACATTGACCACCTGATCAGAAGCATGCCTAGGCGCGTTGGAGAATGCGTAGCACATCAGGGTGCATCCACACATTATTAAAGGTCAAAGGGCTTTAAAGCAGTGCAATCATTTTGAAATTTTTATCATTTACTTATTATGCTTCATTAAGTACTTATACAAAATTTTATTAAAATAAAACCATTTAAACTGGATGTTCGGATTTATATGTCACTTAGTATATATTGAATAAAGAAAGATTGATATTTTTTTCCAACACTAAATCGTTGTGGTTCATTGCAATTCCAGTTTTAACTATCTTATTGTATACTTGAAAATATAAGTACGATCCGACGGATTTTAAGAAATATTTTTTAACAGCTTTTTGATAGCAGCTACACTTCAAGCACATAGTTTTGTTCTTTTTTCGGTTCATATTTACATTAGTGTCTTTGAAAGCAGAACATTGATAGAACATACAAAACAGCTACTATGCTATTGAGCAGTTTGTCTCAGACAACATCAAAGCCCGGCAATTCACACCACCCCCTTTTCATAGAGGATAGATATTGTTCTTAGTTTCAACATAATTTATCCATTTCCTAAATATTTTGCTAAATGAACACAGAGAGTAATTACTGTAATATCCCATAGATTATCTGAAATACTTATTTTGTTTCAGCAACTGGGTACAAATGTATACCAATATCAAAACATGTGTGACTACCAAGTGAACCAATATGTCGCTAGTGACAATACGAAACCTTTTGGATTGGCACCTGATGATCAAAGAGCCATAGTACATTGGAAACCAGTGAAATAATAACATTTTGTGATTTATATGTATGTAATTTTATTGTTAATATTTATCGTTACCGTATATTCTTCATTGTAGATATAAGACATAAGATTGTAAAATATTGTATTATTCATTATTAAGATATGTAGATTGAAACTAAGTGAACGAATAAAATGGATCAGCTTAGGTATAATGAAGAGTTTTGGCTCCCAATTCATACGCAGAACCCTTTCAAGCCTATGAAATGTGATGTGATGAAAAATCTGCCTCAGAGATGGCATTACTGGAGGTAAGGGCAATGCTTAGATGCAAAGTGAAGATTTGTGTGCTAATAATATGTGTTAATGATAGTTCCATTGGATTATTGTCGCAAATACGAGGCTGTTCAAAGGTTGGGTGGGGCTAGTTGAGAAGAGCTATTCTTGGGCCACAAATTTTATAATATTTGATGTTTTGGTCCCAGAAGTACCCGGCCTGACCTAGAGATGGCGATAGTTGTTTGAAAAATATCATTGTATTATAAAGTTTGCAACCTTTAAAGCTTATAGGTCAAGTTTGAAGTCGCCACGTTGTTTAGTATTTGTTTGGCAGCCATCAATACTGAACGTTTGCAGTCAATTTCTGAAAATTGAGAATTGAGAAAATTGGTCATCGTTATGTGGTACAATACTTTTATTTCAAAGGCCTCAGCCCAGCCAATATAACAGCTGAGCTGGACTCTACTCTGGGTGAGTTTGCTCCTTCGTTCACAACAGTAGGATATTGGGTAGCAGAGCTTAAACGAGGCCTTATGAGCTGTCAAGACGAGCATCGCAGTGGTCGACCAAATGAGGTGACGACTCCAGAAATGGTGAAGAAAATTCACAAAGCGGTACTGAATGATTGTCGACTGAAAGTGCGCGAGCTAGCAGACATAGTAGACATTTCAAAAAGTGCAGTTCATCGCATATTATCTGAAAATTTGGACATGAGAAAGCTGTGTACAAGATGGGTGCCACGATTGCTCACAATCGAGCAAAAACAGTATCGTGAAGATGTTTCAATTGAATGTTTAGCGAAGTTTCACAGCAACAAAGCAGAATTTTTGCGTCGTTTCATGCCCATGGATGGAACATGGGTCCATCACTTCACACTCAGGGCAAAAGAACAATTAAAACAATGGACTTAAAAGGGACAAGCGGCTCCAAAGAAGTCGAAAACCGATTCATATGCAGGCAAGGTTATGGCGTCAGTTTTTTGGGATGCGCGTGGGATAAGTTTCATTGATTATCTTGAAAAAGGTGAAACTATCAACGGCGAGTATTATGCGAACTTATTGCAACGTTTGAGCGATGAAATCAACCGAAAACGGCCGCATTTGGTTAAGAATAAAGTGTTGTTTCATGAAGGCAATGCACCAACTCACAAATCCGTTATTGCAATGGCCAAAATTAACGAATTAAAGTTTGAATTGCTACCTCATGCACCCTATTCACCAGATTTAGCCCCATCGGATTATTTTCTGTTTCCTAACTTGAAAAAATAGCTCAGTAGTCAAAGATTTTCCAACGATAAGAAGGGATGTCGGCAGTTAATGGCTATTTTGAGGAGCAAGACAGTTCTTATTATAAAAAGGGTATCGAGCTTATTGAACATCGCCAAAGGAGATTATGTTGAAAAATAAATACATTTTACGTACACTTACTTGAGATCTAATGCTAGAAATTAGTTGCGCATCCAGTTTTTCTTACCCATTCTGAAAATTGCATATGCTTGCTAGATGGCGGTCGATGGGTGTCGAACTCTCTTGACGCGCCACGAACGCTCCCGATAGTATGGATGCCTAGGCACCGATGTACGAGGGTTTCTCACAATGTTCCAGTTACGAGGGCGCTACAATGTCAATATACAGGGGGTTCGAAAAGTCTACGCCACTGATGAGACTCGTCAGAGACAAAATATAAATATTATTTAAATAACGCTATGGCGGGGTAATAATACTCCCCTTGTATCCTGAGTACAATTAGTAAATGTTAAACATCACTAATATCAGTACGTGTTCAAAGCAGAACGGCTTTAAGACTTGTATACAGATAATATCTCAAATATTCAAACCAACATTTTTCCAAAAGGAATGATCCGACAAAAATTTCTGATGAACGACAATTTATGTTACAGTAGTGTTCATGTCATAACACCGAACTTTGACCTGTTAAAAAAATTGGTAGGCGCCCCCCTATTTGAGGAGCACCGTATGGAATTCCATCTTTTACTTTTGTTCTATTAGTATCTCTAAGATTTAAGTAAAACTTAGCAATGTTTAAAAATTACTGCATGAAAGTGCTAAAAAATTCACTTAATAACTATCGCTGAGATTTAGCACTTCAGAGGTTGTCAGTGGATGTCTCGAAGGCATTTGACAAGGTGTAAAACTATAAACTAATTCAAAAGGGCTTTCAATTTTGGCTCCTAGAACTTTTGAAAACCTTCCTTGAAGGTCAATAATTTCTTGTCGACAGTACGGCCCATCAAAGCCGGCGTCCCTCAGGGTTCGGTTCTAGGGCCAATCCTTTACTCACTTTTCACGCATGATGTCCCTTGCCCTAGCGACTGTGAAGTCGATGACACTGCACTGGTGGCCCAGTCGCGTACCGGGAATCAGGTTCATGTTAGGCTACAAAGTGCGGTGGATGAGGTATTGGAATGGGCAGATCTGCGGCTAATCAAAATTAATTACTCGAAAACGCAGGCTATCTATTGTACTGAAAGACGTAGCGGCGCCCCGCCTGAGGTTCCAGTGAACGGAGCTCGCAAACCATGGGTAAATTCTGCTAAGTATCTCGGTGTCACTCTTGACAGAGGGATGACCTGGCAGAATCACACTGAAGCGTTAAAAACTAAATTCCAAATTACGTTTCGGCAACTACTATGTAGAACCACAAAATTAAGTTTGGTTAACAAAGTTCGGCTATACAAGATGGTTATCAGACCAGCAATCACTTACCCATGTGCAGCATGGTGTTTTCCTGCCAAAACGTATATGCGTAATCTGCAGGTTTTGCAGAATAGAACCTTGCGAACCATCACTAACGCACCATGGTATGTCTCCAACGAGGCCCTTCACAGAGACCTCGATATCCCTTACCTAAGGGACTACATCAAACATCACGCGCAGTTACGTTATAGTCAAGCGGAATTGCACAGCAACACTCTGTTGCGTGAGTCAGTAGACTACACAGTCGAGCAAGTTCGCAAGCACATAAGACCGCGGCTCGCACTGTGATCAAAATCAAATCGTGCAATTCTATGTCCAACCAAAATTACGATTTTTGCCACACACAAATTCCTAAATTAATTTTTTGGTTAATTTAAATTTACCGAATACCAGTTAACAATAGCAAGCCATCCCTTTAACCGGCGCACTTCACCCTCTTTGCTCTTCTCCCTTCCTTCCTTTCTTCTTCCTTTCTTTCTCCCTGACTTCGTCTGGTATCTGGCCAATCAGACATGACAGACCTACTGACCTACGATACTTGACGAATGACAATGACGAAACGGAATAGGAGGTTGTCAGTTGTATATGACAGAAACGATGACCCAACCAATCCCTAATTGTTATATTTTCTACAATAAACTGAATTGCGTTAGTATGCTATGATTGTGCTAGTCAAATATTAATTCTAAAAATGCTATAGATGTTTCGCAAGCATCAGGGGCGTAGGAAATGTCTCTTTTCCCTTTTATAGGGATTAAAATATCTCAATTTTCACGCCACCGTGATGCACTGGTTTAAATTGAGCCGCAAGATTGTTTGTATGTATTGCTTACGCCATCAGTAGTATACACCTTAGGAAAAACCATTGTTATACATGGGAAATCATTTCTTGGCAACAGCGCATCGGCTCGTCTACTTTCATCGCTATTCGTACATATTTCCTACCGTTAACGCGCGTGCCGTCGTCAAGTGCGATAAGGGATTCATGACTCACTCTACGGTTGGGTTTTGTGTAGGAAAGGTGCGTCTTTATTTAATCCAAAATATCTTAAAAATGTACTCGCAAGAAGAAAAGTTTCAAATGATAGAATGGTACATCCAGAATAATTCAGCACGCGCGGTTGTTGAATTATTTGCGGTACGCTTCCCAAATCGGCCAATTCCGTCTCACGCAACGGTTATAAATACCTACGAAAAATTCAAGAGGGTGGGCTGCTTACATAAGTGCCATAGCTGCATGCACCCTGAAGGTTGGAAACCAAAAATTAGCGAGAAAAGGGAGGAGATCGAAACTGCTGTTTGTGCCGCTGCAGAAGTATCTGAGCCATGCTCAAGCAGAAAAATTGCTGAAATGGTACCAATAGCCGATCTCACACCCAGAACAACAAGAAATATTTTGCATCGCAACGGCTATCATAGCTTCAAGGTTGGAACGGTTCAAGAAATACCGTCGAATGGAGTTTTGTGAAACGGTCATGGAGAAGGCGAACAGGGATGGAAGTTTTATTGGTAACATTTTGTTTGCTGATGAATCCACATTCCCTCTCCACGGTCATCACAATCTTTCAGTCGTTCGGTATTGGTCTCGGGAAAATAAACACCTCAGTATTCCCGTCCGCACGCATTATCCACAGAAACTGAATGTGTGGGCAGGAATTCTAGGTAATAACATTATCGGACCGTTCTTTATTGATGGAACTCTTACGGCTGCAAAATATTTGGCGTTACTACAGACGCAGATTGTTCCGTCAATTAGGCAGCTTGGCATTGATCTCGCTAATATTTGGTTCCAACAAGATGGATGCCCGGCGCATAATGCGGCGATCGTACACACTTACCTTGAAAGTGTGTTCGGCCACCGGATTATTGGCGGTAACGGAACAATGAAATGGCCTCCTAGATCACCCGATCTAGCGCCCAATGATTTTTTCTTGTGGGGTTATGTGAAAAGTACTGTTTACACTTTCAATGAGAGAGCAGACAATTTGCATAACCTACAGGTGAAAATCGTTGAAGCGCTCGGGCAAATACAGCCTTCTACCCTCTTGAGAGTTCGTCAGGAGTTTTATAACCGCCTGACATACTGTTCATTGAATGAAGGAGACATTTTTGAGCCCCAGCTATGAAGGACCATTTGAAACATTTGTGTTCATTATTGCGTTTTATTTTTGAGAACTTCTTTTTTTGTTAGAATATCTTTTTATTTTCGT